GCAAGGGCATTACAGGCTCGTAACCTCTGAGTCATCTCTCCAGCCTCACTGGTAACATCAGACAAAACCGAATTAGAGATCTTACAGGCAAGACTGTCTTATACCAAGAGATGCCCTTTCCAGTAAAACCCAAGACTTGAACAGTCTGGAATTTGCGCTCTTTAGCTGCTTGTCTCAGCCGTATCTCCCCACAGTGGCTGCAAATCAACAGCTCTGAGGGTTGAAGCATCACTGATTTGTGTGTACATAGGTTCTTCTGCAAACCTGGTCCCAAGGGCCTCCCATCCCCACCCTTGAGCATACTAGCACTGGCCCATTCTAGTCTTTAGACTGGGCCTCCTATTCTCTGGGCTGTTGAACCCATGGTAACCTTTGCTCCCTGTCCACTTGGTTCCTGGATTCTGGCTCTTGGATAACTGCTCCAGATCAGACTATTGGATCCTCACTTTTGGACTCGGCTCCGGGTCTAGTTTAGAAACATGCCTAGACCATCCTTACCCAGTGCCCCTAGGAAGTGGAGGGAAAAAATATCAAATCTGTTTGGAATCTCAGCATCTGAAATATTCTGGACAGGATGCTTTATGGAGACTCTTAGGGAAGATACACCAGGGCACACACACTCACCAATGAAGGCATCCTGAGAAAGAGACTGAGAACCCTGCATACAGATGAGGTGATGTGGGAGTGTCATATATCAATCTGTTGATTTCATTGGCTGAGCAATAAAGAAACTGCTTGGCCCTCATAGGTTAGAACATTGTTGGGAGGAGTAAACAGAATAGAATTCTGGGCGGAAGAGGAAGTGAGGTCAGACTCTGCTCTGCTCCTGGAGAGACGCCATGCTCAGCTCTGCTGGATAGACACAATAGCTCTGCGCTCTGAGGCAGAGGCATGAAGCTCCCCAGGATGGACGTAGGTTAGAATCTTCCCGGTAAGCGCACCTTGGGGTGCTTACACACATTACTAGAAATGGGCTAGTCCAGGTGCGAGAGTTAGCCTAGAAGAGGCTAGATAGAAATGGGTCAAGCAGTTAAATGAATACAGTTTGTGTGTTGTTATTTCGGGCATGAGCTAGCCAAGCGGCCGGGGTGTTGGGGACGCAACCCCGCCGCTCTTATTTCAACAATGAGGGAGACCTGGAGACTCAAAAACTAAGGCAAGATGGTCCCAGCTGCACAGATAGGGAGCTTGTCTGGGGAATAGTGCTCAGAGGATGCAAGCAGAGACTTCTCTGGGAAGTCAAAAAGACTTTGCCAATGCCCAGGGCTCTCTAAGCTGTGCTGAAGACTTTCACGTGGCCCACAAAAATACTTTTGCAAAGTTCCAAACTATGGGCCCCAACCCTGCCCCAGACACTTGCCAGCATAAATAATTAATTGTAAGTGTAATGCCAACTGTCCAAATAATGTGCATTTATATGTGTGGTGTGTGTGTGTGTGCACACCTATGTTTTTACCCACTGCTATTTTATTTTAAATAATCGAATATATGCATATATGTAAAGCTCACTTAATCTCCAAAGAGTGACCATGTAATCTCATGTGTATATGCACATAGCTCATTTAAATAGATATTACATAAATTTGCATAAATTTCATATACATAAGCCCTCACATACACACACACATATATATGTAAGTCACACTAAGTGACTATTCTAATAACTGTTACAAAATTGTATATAATGACATAAAACCAAATTTACATGTGGTATATAGATAAGATCTAAAATAAATATTCCTATATGAAAACCTCATTAAATCATTAAATAGTAGCTAGATATTAGCAACTGTTCTGAATATATTTGTAGTCATTTATGTATGGCTCTCCTACTTAAATTGCATTTAATTATTTAAGGTGATTATATATCAACAGCTATTTCATATATCATAAAAAAATCTAATCTAGTTTCACATGTTAAAGTCACATATATTTAAATACATACATACCACAGGCACAGATATGCATACCTGTGCATGTCTGTGGGTATGTAACTTTGGGTGTATGAATACGCATGTGCATATCTGTCTGTATTTCTGTCCCTTAACTTCCTAGCAGCAGCAGCAGCATTGCTGCCCTTAGGTGCCCTTAGGCTAAGCAGGACCACCTACCTGATGCCTGCAAGGCCAGGCTTAGCTGAGCTCCTGGCAACCCCACTTAGGTCTACCCACAGCCCTGACCTCACCCCCCCCCCATCAATTCCTAGAACATTTCCTGTCTCATCAGGGGCTGTACTAGCTGATCATTGCTCAAGCTCAGCCCTGAAACCCCTGACTCCACAACCAACCTGCCCAACCTCCCTCCCCCCACCAAGGGGTGCAGGAAGGCTGCCCTAACCCTCCTAGTGTTGCCCTTGCTTCTGCTCTTCTAGTCCTGCTTTTGAAAGGGAGAAAAATCTGGGAAACCACAAGCCAGCCCAGGCCAAGCCTTCCTGGGCTCATGACTCACTTGAAGGGAAAGTTCAAGTCCTCATTAATCTCCCAAGTCCTCCAAGGTGCCTCTCATCAGAGACCTGCCCCCACACAGAAATCCCTGCCACAAGATCCTGATGAATTCTAATTGTGTTCGGCTGTGGTCTGTGTAGCCAGCGTCTTTAAAAGAGAAGCTAAGAGGATTTCTCTACGAACCACAGAACACCCAGACACACACAGACACACAAACATACACACAGAAGGGGAAGGAGGGGAAGAGGTAGATATAGAAAAAGACAGATACAGAAAGAGACAGAGAGAGGGAGAAGGAGGAAGAGGGAGAAAGGAGGGGGAGGGAGAGACAGAAAAAGACAGAGAATAGGAAAAGGAAAAGCCTTCCCTCTCATTTTGTGAAGGGATTGAACATCATCTCTAGAACTTGGAGCACACCCAACTGGAAAAGTTTGTAGCGGACAGACCCTCAATAAAGGGCTGATGAGGAATAGGGGGTTGATAAAAAAAAAACAACCTGGCAATTCCAGGGGACTGTCCAGTCTAAAACCCCATAAAATTCCCTGAGAGAATATGACATAAATATCTCTAAGGCTCAGAGACTAAAAACCCCTATCCAAGCACATTGCCACGTTAGCATGTAAGACCTTTCCTGTCCTCCCCATTCAACTAGACAAGTCAGGGATCAGCCGGTGATGGCAAGAGAAGTCTTGAATGAGTTGGGAACAATGCACCTAAAATGCATCATGCTTATCTCTGATGACAACTGAGTCTGTGTTTGTGACTGGGAGAACTATTACCCACGAGACACAAAAGGGCTGAAACCCATCAGGATTTCATCAAGGACCAGAGGACTGCCCCCTTATTAAGCAGACCTAAAGGAACCCCAAGTCAATAAAAGTTGCTTTTACAGGGGCAGAAGATATAGCTCAGTCAGTAGACTGTTTGCTTTGCATGCAGGACACCCTGGGTTCGATCCCCAGCACTGCATAAGCAGGTGTGATGGTGCAGGCCTGTAATGTCAGCATTAGGGAGGTAGAAGGACAAGGTCATCCTTGCCTATACAGCATGTATGAAGCCTGCTTGGGATACATGAGACTTTATCTCAAAAGAAGAGAGGGGCTTTTATACTTCTATCTCATCTCTGCTTATTTATATACTGGCCATCTTCTAGTTACTATTTATGGCTGTGGAGAAAGATACAGTCCCATTATTCTCTTGTCCTGTTAGGGCAAGCAGCTCTTTCCATAAAACACCATATCAAAGTGACCCAAGAGACAGGCTGAGTGGCCAAGGTTTCTGACAAAACTTCCACAAGTTCTCACTCCGTCTTCCAGAGGAAACACCTAAATCTGAAAGCGCAAGACTCTCCAGGTTTGGTCTTGACCTCTTCCGTATCTTAGATAGTATCAAGACTTGAGAGAAAAGAGGCACACAAAGCAACAGTGGCTTAAGAACCCCAGACCGGCTGATCTACCCACATGGAAGTTTCTTCTCAGCCCTGAGTATGTTTGTGACGCTGTAAGAATAGGCCTTCTCTAGCCCTGTGCTGATGTTTCAGAACAGAGCAGAGGAGTTCTTGCCTTTCTCACATCCCTAGACTCCAAGTTCCTTTAGAGAAGAGTTGAGCCATCTAGGCATCAAAGAACTTGTGTAGCTTCCCAGACATGGCGGGGGGGGGGGGGGAGGCTCTGTCTAGAGTGCTGAAATGAAAGCTTAATGAAAGATTAATGAATGGCAGACAGGGGGACAGCAGAATGGACAGGAGGGAAAGTGGATGGACTGACAGACAGAAGAGTAGGTGAAAGGACAGATAGACAGATGGAAGGGTGGGTGCATGGATGGAAGGGCAGATAGGGAGATGGGAGGATGGGTGGATGGATGGATGGATGGATGGATGGACTGACAGGTAGATTGAAAGTGGAAGGATGGGTGGGTGGATGAATGGGTGAACTACTTGGAGAGTGGGTGCATGAATGAATTGACAGAGAGATGGTCTTATATAAATCCCTTTCCTGGAATTTATGAGCACAAAACCATTGAAGGCTTCCGATGCTATCTCTTTTCTGCACCCTTCCCCGGTGTGTGGCCATGTTCTGAAGGGTCCTCCTCCATTTGTCTCTTTGTGCTGTGACAGACAAAGCAGTAATATTAAGTGTGTAGAAAGACTCTATCCACAGTGATAGACATCAATTTTGACCATGCAAGGCAGCTTGAACTATACAGGACTGATCTCTGTGAAGGTTTGCCTGCTAAGGATAGGGGCCATAATATTATAGAGCATAGTGCACATGTCAAGGAAGGGATAAATGACACATCCACTCCCTGAAAATCTGTCCCCTCCATTCTAAAGTCCTCTGGCATCCAGCTGTTGCCCCTCTACCCAAGTGATGGCCTCAAAACACTAGAAACTTCAGGTCATACCTGGATGGAGATGTCAGTCTGCCAGGAACCTTGGAACAACCTCCAAGGCTCCAGAAACTTCTCAGTTTTGAAAGCACATAACCAGGTTGTGACCTTTAAGATGGATCAGAAAAGGGGTAGGGGTGGGTGGGAGGGACACAAACAAATAGAGACGAAGTTTCAATCTTTTTATTCAAAGCAGCTTCTCACGATGTATAAATACTGCATATTAGCACACATGAAAAATACAACTTCTAAGGCACCCAGAAATATGTTCATATACGTTACAGGACCATTCACAAAGAGTGGACGATTTGCTCCAGACAGCATTTGATAAATCAGAAGATTATTACCCTCAGTACTGCACCCAGTTTGGGAAAAATATTTACAATGTGGAGAATGGGCCAGCTATACCTGCATATAACTCTATGAAGGACTCATACTTACAAGTATCCAAAACTAAGGACTCTCCAGTGAAAATCTGGCAAAAGAAAACGAGTAACCTAACCTGTAAAGGTATCCATGGATTTTGGTGTGTACGCTACATCCATGATCAAACCCAAACACTCCTAGAGTGAGCTGGACACGTTTTTGGTAGCCTGCTTCATTATCAGAAGTTTGGTAATAAGCCTTACCAATAGAATAGCACTTCTTTAACACCAGTCATCTCTGGATTAGTAAAGAAGTCAATGACATCATCAAGAATGAGAATGAGAATGAGGGGCATCCCCTGGTGGGGCCGCTGAGGAAAATTCCTGCTCTACTAAGCAGGAAGTGGAATGGCTTGATGAGGAACTAAAGGGATGGACATCTGGCAGTCACAGGATGCATCCCTGGAGACCTAGCTACAAAACTTCAGCCGGAGGCCCACACACAAATGGAAGAGTCTACGGTGTTCAGACAACCTGGCGGGATCCCAGAGTTCCACTTTGTAATGGGATAAATAGAAAGCTGAGACCACACAGCAGAAACACCCACCTGAGATACTAAGTTCCAATCGCAGAAACTCTCCTTCAGAGCCTTTCAACGAGATAGTCAACTTCTCTGCATGGCCAGTTAGGGGAGCATGAGTTTGGGGGAACCAAGGCTTCCTCTGTGCCCATGAAGCTCACACATCTGGACCCAGATGTGCCTACAGGCTACGAAACTCATGCTTGGTTGGAATAATGAAATTCTTTGGTCCTTGGTTTTATGGAAGGCAGTTATTTTCACAGCCTTGTCAATGTAGCCATTAGAAAATAACTTCAAGCTGGAACTAATGGCATAATGGCAAATTAAATACTAGGTGGAAAACTCTACACCCTCTGAACTTTCCAGAGTCAATTTAACACGCTCCAGCGGAAGACTAGATGTTGAGACAAAGAGGTGAAGCCAACCCAGAGATGCAAGGCAGAAGCTAACCCTAGACATCAGGTCTTCTGAACTGACTACATGAGCACATGCCATTCTCAACCCTAATGCTGAAAAGGCGACTTTGGACACTTCCTAAAGAGGGACCCCAATGCTTAACCACACAGCCCTGAACTCATGCTCCTATTCCAAAGGTTGATAAGGAGAATCAGCTGGTAATGGCCAGAGTGCCACCTACCAAAAATGGGATTTAATTTTTGAGAATTAACTCTTTAAGATTCCAAGATTCACTATGCCCACTGCTGATAAAATCTGGGATTTCTGTGCCACTGAAAAAAACCCTGGCTAAACCAGCTCACTTGCTGTGCATGCTCTGTGTCTACAGTATGCCCATCCTGCCAAACTCCAGTCTAGCATGTCTCGACATTTCCTCACAGAAACACCAAGGACGCATGGCAATGCCAATGACAGAACAAAAACTGACTCCAGATTGTCTACATAGTAAGACTTTTATGTAAACTTTGTTAGCATCTCTCAGAGACTGCTGACTTTAGCTACCCTGGACATTTGCAGGTCACCCACAAGGAACCTGGAGTCCCCACCGGGGTCAGGAGCAGGAACTGTCATTTGTTTAGAACAGACGATGAATCCGCAGCCCTCCCTGTTACCATCTCCAAACCATGTGACTAGAAGGACAGTGGTTCAGAAAGCCTGGCCTTGACCATGTGATGGCCAAAGACATCCATCAAGAAATCCATCTGGTCCCTGCCACCATCGACTCCACCACTCTCTTCCGGTTAGCCACGAGCTACAGACTGCATCGAGCCCACTAACATGGCTTACATGGAGGAAACAACCCGTATTATCCTTTTATTTATTTATTTTTTGCAACAACCTTAAGGCTCTGTTCACAGCTCCATCAACTGCCACACAGTCAGAATTTATGAGGGGCGTGGGGGGGGGGCTTGAACTACACACGTAGTTTTGAAGGTCAGCAGGATTATTGAACCTAATGGTAAGGCTTATTCCACAAATTCAACACGTGTTCAAATTAGATTTCAAACGCAATGACTTCTAGAAAAAAAAAGAAAATTGACTTGATTTCTTAATGTAAGACTTGGATTAAAAAAAAATTGGCACCAAACCAGTATGCGATCTATTTTTTTTTTTGAAGGAAGAAGTGATATTAATGGAAAAGATTGCCTAAAACGCATGTCCTAATTTACCACAGAAATATAAAAGTTTATATTCTGAAAATATATATACTGTATTAAAGTCTATAAGCATTTCAACCAAAACCCGCAGAAAGAACTAAGCGGCACTTAGTTACAATAACAACAAAAAACCCACATGCAAGACAAGCCCCCGAAGATGTATCTACAAAGGCAAAGTGGAGATTTATTTTCGAGATTTTTACAAAACCATTTACAGAGAATAAAATAAAATACTTAAGAAATCTCATTTGGAGTCTTAAATACTGTGTCTATTAGTGAGGGCATCTTGTCTCATATATACAACAGAAACACAAGAGAAGCGGGCCTTCCTTCTAAATGTTCCCATAGGAAGATTTGGGGGATTTTTATTATCATTATTAGTTTTTTTTTTTAAAAAAAAATCTTCTACAGAAACTAGATTGAAAAAGTGTGCGGAGTGGGACTAAGTTCCAAATTTAAAAAAAAAAATTACAAACTTCTAAAGATATTTTTGAAACCAGGAGTTAGGAGTGGGGGATACAATTCAGCATTCGGCGGAGGCAATTTGTAAAGGAGAGTTAGAGATAAAATTGCATTGTTCAAAGTCTGCTGTGGTTATTTTCCCGTCCTCATATTGAATTCCAGCTTTTCATGCTTCCGAGAGGACAATTCCCAGTTTGACCTATGCCAAAGAATAAGCTTTTAAGTCTTTACTTTCTTCTCAGCATAACGTGTTTCCCCTCAGACTTTATTTCGAAACAGGAAAGGGTCACCTGAATAAAAGAACAGCCACATTACAAAGTGGCCTCCATGTGCTGAGGTGGTCTGGCCATCTTAACCATAACTCTTCAAAAGTCTCGGGGATCAAAGCATCTAACCCCAACCACGTCATATCCTCACACTGGAAGTTGCCGTCGCCAAGGTCGTGGCAGACAGGGGGCGTCCTGAGTGGCTTGCTAGAAGGGATGTTGACTCAGAACAGGCACTCTCTAATTCTCACCCATAGCTGTCCTTCCAAACTCAAAGGAACTCTTGAGTTGGGCCTTCTAAGACCATCTACACAATTCCTCAAAGATTTACTTAGGCTCTAGGAAAGGATGACATGGGAAAGGAACAAGGAAGGTAAAGGGACAAACAGAAGGACCTCATGGGAGCAGAGAGGACACTGGGGTACAAGATAGAAGATGAAAGCCAGCACCCTGCCTCAAGAAAGCTTTTTTTTTTATATTCTGACATCTCATTTATTTTACTTTTCCCATAACATTAATCAAAATTTATAGTTTTGTAAAAGTCTTTCTCTTTTACTATATTGGTGACCAGCAACAACAAGTGACCTTTCTTCTGCACAAACCTGACAATGACAATCTGAATACAACCATAGGCTGGTATTTTCCATCCCTGTTCAGTATGCTGGAGGTCAGCTGCATTCAATGACACACTACCCCCAGGGCAACCCTGAAAACAGCCATTCCAGTGGTCTAGCCACCCCTGCGGCAGACTGACTAAAGGACTTGTGTCCCTTGGCAGAACCACCTTATTGAAAGGACTTAAAACGAGCCATATGAATTCCACCTTAGAAAGAATTCTATGTCTATCTCGGTCATCACAGACCCTTGACACATTCAGAGGTTTGGTGCTCATCAAGGACCCAAAGTTAAAACTCTGATTGTATCAGCAGGAATCAGAGACGGACACTGATAACAGGCATTTCTAAACATCCCTTTCCATTTCCAGGAAGAATCCTGACCCCTTGCCTCCCTATGGACAAACGCGGATTAATCAGAAAGCACGAGGGTTGGGACCCATAGAGGAAGCAGCAGTTGTGAAGAGGCTTGGAGACATACACAAGAACAAGGGCCATCTTAAGGGTTTGGATGAAGCACATGGAACTCATCTAATAGAGAAGGCTCAACCACAGACACCTGGCAGAATCCAGAGCGCTCCTCTATTAACTCTCTGCTCCCCAGCCTACAGCTCCTACAGTGTTCTACTGGGACACCAGGGAACTATAGGATTCGATTCCGTTTCCCTGTGACTGAACACAGCCAAAGTGGCTGTCCCTTCAGTCTCTGCATGGCCCAAGTGGCACAGGCTGAAAGAGAATGGAGAAGTGTAACTCCGACCGTCTTGAACCTTTCTGACTCCCAACGCTTTCCATAGAGGGAAGCAAGGTCATCCTGAGGATCACAAGGTCAGCGCACATGGGAACCTCCTGAGTGCTGGGATTAAAGGCTACCACAGCCTGGCTAGAGACAGGGTCTTATGTAGCCCTGGCTAGGGACCTGAAATCGCAGCAATCCTCCTGCCTCCGTCTCCCAGGTGTAGAGTCGGGCCCCTTCACTTGTTCTCATGTGAACATTCAACCACCTGTGTCATTCTTCCACCTGGGGCTTGGGGTAGCTATTCCCGGTCGAGAGCAGGCAGAGAACCAACTCTCCTTCTTTGCAGCCCACCTCCCCACTCCCCTAACCCCCATCAAGCGGTGCCAACTCAGTACTGGACCCCACTGTCTCCAAAGCAGGGCTAAGAAAGACTGGAAACTCACAGGGAAAGGAATAGAAAGAACAGAGGTCAAGATCTGGAACTCATCTAGAACAATCCAGGCACCCTGATGGTCTAATTTTCTCTGGGCACATGATCTCAAAGAGGTTTGAGGTTCCAGGCACAATGGAGCCTCTCTTCCTTCTATTTCCTGTTTCTTTATCAACTCAAATTCAAACTCCCCTACCATGCAGATCCAGGGACTTTAGTTGGATCACGTGAACATAGCTACTGGAGGCCTCCCATAGCCCACAGCCATCGAGGCAAGGAGACCTCCATGCTGGATACTGCTCCCTTGTAGTCTCCCAGTTAAAAAAAAAAAAAAAGAAGACTCATTGTTCAGACTTCTGGAAGCAAAATGGTTTGGACCCTAGAAAAACTCCAGAGACTGGGTTTTCTTTCTCAACACTCCCAGAAGGCCAACTAAGACATTAACTTCCATATGAGAAGAAAGGTCTTGGAAATCCAAGTTCATTTATCTATCCCAGAGCAAAAGAACACCTCAGCCTAGGCAATATTTCATCCTGAAACAGGACCGCACCCCCATCCTTCCTTGATGCCACTCAGCTAAGGACCGGGTCCTGCTCTGAGACCATTTGGGATCACCAGAGTCCTAGGTTCCTCTTACTGACAGTGAGTGACAGAGAAAACGCCACCATGACTTATCCTAAAAACAAGACTAGAGAACCGGCATCATGTTATGAGAGTGACCTGGAGAGGACCTGACACAGTGTTGTTCATTTCAAATCCACAAAAAACCCTTCCATTCTCATCTCTGAACTTCCCACATGGCTCGTGGCGAGCGTGCACCAAACAGCGTGAACCTTGAATCGTATTTGGTCCAGGGCAGTATGAAAATAAGATCTGTGTGAACAATAGACTTCATAATATATAAACAAAAATAAATAAATAAAATAAATCCGAATAAAGAAAAATTTTCCTAGTAATTCATGTTTTTTTTGCAAAACTAGCTTTACATATAATACACATAAATTATCAGAATTTCCACTTACATTGTTTTAAAAATATATATTTAACAAAACATTTCTAAATGTACAATATCTGGGTTTGTAAATCACTCAGTTGGGTTTTGAGACCAAGCCCTAAGAATCACACCGAGCTGCACTGGAGAGGAGCCTGAAGCCAGGCCTATGGGCCAACAGAGTCATGTGCTTGTTGGTCTGCGAATTCCCTAAGATGATTGTCCCCTGGTCCCAGATCATTTCATCAGGACCCATGATGGCCTCATCTCCAAGTTGGAGGCACTGTGTAGACACAGCCTGAGTCGGGAGGATGGGGGAAGTTGATCGTCCCCTTCTGGACCATGGCGGTTTAGCGTTTCAGCTAAGTGGGGAAAGGGAAGCAGTGCCTGGCAGAGCCCTGAAAACGTGTAACCCTGGAAAGCTCTATGGCCGGGCTGGGATAGGGACACGGGAGGCCAAGGATACTGCGTTTCCCACCGTTACATCAAAATCAAACCAATGAGGAACAACCGAAGGACACAAGGAATGGACACAACCCTAGGTGTGAAGACACACCCTGACAAACTCTTGGCTAGGGGTGGACCCTGGGCTCCGATGGCAGAAACACAGGCCCAGCTGGAAGTCAGGTACCCTTGAGCAGCGAGGCTCACAAGCTGGGGCCCTTCAGACTTCATAGATTTTGTCCTGCAGGTAGCTGAAGAGGGAGTCCAAGCCTTTGGAGGAGCTCCAGAGCTGCTTCAACATGACACACTCCTTCTCATTCACGTCTTCCAACACCGACTTCAGGAAGCTCCGGACCAAGCATTTGGACTCCTCCAAAACCTGGAAGGAAACACACACATGTGGGGTCAGCCAGCCTGGGGCTGAGTTCTGTCTCTGTAGCCTTGCAGTGTCCACAGCAGCCAAGAAGGGGGTTTACCTTGAATCTGGATCATTGGGTCTGTTATTAGCACCGTCCTGAATGACTTCCAAGTGGTCAAGGTGTTGAGCCCTCTACTCATGGGATGACTTGGGCAGAAAGGCATGGTACTCAGGCCTTAGGAGTCTTGCCTTTTATCCAAAGGTGACATATAATCAGTGTTCTCTGTCTCTCTCTGTCTCTCTCTGTCTCTCTCTGTCTCTCTGTCTCTCTGTCTCTCTGTCTCTCTCTCTCTCTCTCTCTCTCTGTGTGTGTGTATGGTATGTGCTGTGGTGTGGATATATGAGAAGGCCTTAGATAACCATCTTCCTCAACTGGTCTTCACTTATTTTATGACAGAACCTCTCACTGGATTTAGTGTGTGCAGACTGGGGAGACTGTCAAGATCATGAGATCAAGAATCTGCCTTTCTTTGCCTCCCCAGCACTGGTGCATCTGTATATACATACATATACATACACTACATATACACACACTACACATACATGTACATACACATATAGTTTCTGGAGTATCAGTCACAGGTCTCCATGCATGCGCAGCAAGCACTGTACCCATGGAGCTGTGGTTTTGGGTTTCTGACGAAGTTCGCAAAGCATTGTTTTGACCCCACCCCACGTCATGAATGGAGTCATTTGAACAACCTGTCGGGGAAAAGAACACCCAACCCAAGGGTCACTGTGAACGGAGAATGAGGGCATGGTTGACAAAGTATCTGTGGGATGCCCTGGCCAGCCGTGCCTCTGTTAGGCGCAGTAGCAACAATAGTAGTATTGGGTAACATTGCAGTATTGGGTAACAAGAACTACAGCCATAATAATGGTTGCAACAGTCATGGCAGTGAATAATAACGGCATAAACTGTAGAAATAATTTTCAACAAGCACAGTAATAGTTGTAGTAATGATCAATAATAATCATAGTAATCAACATAATATATATAGGACCAAGCAGCCATGTTCCAGTAAGACAGGAATGAGGAGCAATGACAACAATCACACTAACTCTAGAGTAATGAGCGGCAATTGCGGTACTGAGCAATAATATTAATGGTAACATTAATAACCACACCATGATGACCAGGCTCCATGAAATATTTTTTTTTTCCAATCTCACGTCTCCCAATTGCAGGTAGTTCACATCTTACCCCCATTGTAGATAAAGGCCCTTGAGAAGGTAACATGGCCCAGGGGGGGATCATTCAACAGCGGTACAAGGCATCTCAATCAGGCCGATCCCCAGACCATGATGTTGCCTCCACAAGGGTCAAGGCTTAGGTTCTCACTGCTCTAAGCACTTTTAAACAGACAAAGCAAGGGACAAACCCCCAGGTGCCAGCTGTCTGAAAGGACCTTACACTCTAGAACGGCGGAAGGAACCCTGAGCGCCTCTCATCCTGGAATCTTTTTCTCCTGATAACACCACCTTCTAGAGGCTGCAGGCTTCACTTTGCCACACAGTCTTTTCTCAGGAAGTCACCTAAAGTTCCTGGGTCCCCTGCAGTGCCGCTGTAGAGGTTTCTTCTGTGTGGGTGTCTCCTAATGTCCCCTCAGGCATCCTCTCAACAGATACTTCATCTGGGGGCCTCCCCTTGCCCAGAGTGTGGCCCACACCCCACTGCAGCTCGTGCCTGCCTCCTGCATCCTCTGGGCAAACTGGCCACAGTCAACACTGAGACGTATACGACCTTCCTGCTTTCCTGCCTCCTGCCTCCCAAACCCTTGCCGTTTCCCCTGCTTGAGCTCTCCCCTCGCCTCTCTGTGAAGCTGGCCCTCAGGTGATTAAGCATGCCCGTTTACTTGGGAGTGTAAGGTTTCTTGACGAGATTCTTTCAGAGCTGAAAGGGGGAGAATCTCAGGAAAAGGGGTAAAAAATAATGCCAGTCACCAGTTCAAAGAGAATTCACATAAAACCAGTAAGGCACGTGATCCATATTCCAATATGGAGACCACCACAACCGTCATGAGCGGCACTAGTGTGAGAGTGAGCAGGTGCCCAATAAATAAACAGCTAACAAGAAGAGGCTGAGTAGATGCCCATGTCAGCTGGATATGTGGGTGGGATGCTTGTGGGAGCAGAAGGCATGGGATACAGAGATGTGGCTCACAGACCCAGCCCAGCACTCCGTTTCTTAAGGACAAGAGCATAGACCTTATCCTTTGGCATCACGTCCCTCTCAGGAACCGGCCTTGAGGCTTGAGTTCCCTCCTATGCTCAGAGTCTCCATCAGGAAGTCAAAACCAACATTTAACTAAAACCTTGCACCTCCATGGAGGTGTGGTTCACCCCTTCTTTAGTGCATCCCTGGAGTCGAAGAACGACCTTTAGATGTGTCGGACACTAGGCTGGACCAAAGAAATCAAACAGTGGCAGCACGCACTGGTCTCTGTCCCTTGACCTGGAGTGCCCTGGGCCTTCCCTTTCTGAGACTTTAGCTTGGTGCTTTTGGGGGTGTTCAGGGCTTTCTCTTAATACAATGCTTGCTTATCAACTACAAATCTCTCTCGTGAGCCTCTTTCAATGGGGCGTGGATAAGAATATGCAATATCCTGGGCATCTTCCTCTGATAATTTTGACATTCTGTACCAAGAGGCAGTATATGCCACACTGCAGAAAACCTCTCACCGATTCTGCAGGTTCTCTGGGGAACTATGGGAAGGGCTCAGTTGTCACATGAGGACCTGAGACTGACTCCCCCAGAACCCATGTGAAATGCTGGGTATAGTAGTGCACACTTAACAATCCCAGAAGTGAAGATGTGGAGACAGGAGGTGCTTACTGGTCACCGTCTAGCCAAATTGGCAAGCTTTGGGTTTGGTGAGAGAGCTTGTCTCAAAAAAATTAAGGTAGAGATGACATGGGAAGAGACTCCGCATTGGTCCTAGGACTCCACCTGCACGCACGTACACACAATGGTCCACTCACAAGGTGGGTACATGAGCAACATGGGGACTCACCACCGCACTGCAGGATGCCATCTCCTTCACCCGCAGCATGACCTCCTGGCTGAAGGTCGTGGGCCAGAAGACCTGTGAGACAAGGCCCCGGCTGCACGCCTCCTGGGCAGTGAGTTTTCGCCCGCAGAACAGCATTTCATTGGCCTGGAAGAAGAAAGGCAGGAGAAAGCTGAGGGCACAGAGTTCTGCCCGTGTCCCTTAGGGAAGCCTGGAACAGCTGGGCATGAGCGCCTCTCTGTTCCCTGAGGCAGGAGTCACAACCTAGGGTCAGATATACAGTGTGGAATGTTTACAAACATCTGCCATTGCTCTCATTAAAATGTCAAGAGAAGCCAACGGATCTAGCAAAGCTCTGGGAACCCAAAAGTACTCCCCTCCAGTCACTGACCCCTGGGTGGGTTTGCACAACCTTTGAGGTTCCTTTCAGTGCTGACTGCCTGGCCCTAGTCTAGGAAGGAGGGGGTGATCTACCTACGGGCTAACACTTTCTAACTAGAACAGTGAGTCAAGTTCATCCTCTCAGAAGAGAGATTAGTTCTGAGGGGAGAAGGAAGGGATGAAGACAGAGATGAGAAGGAGATGGGGTGAGAGAGAGTAAAAATCTCAGAAGAATCACTAAGCTTTAAAAAATGAAGTCAATCAAAACTCTCTACAGCATTAGGGACCCAAAGACGAGACCACCAAGGTAGAGCAAGAGCATCCAGCAGCTTGGGGCACAGATACTATGCAGTTGTGACTGACGGAACACTCTCGCCCTGGCTGGGCTGCCTCTGCATCCCACACCTCAAAGTGACATGGTTGTCTCTGCTTTGACATGGGTGGCTGTCATACACAGTGCTACAGGGGTGTCAGTGTTCCCCAAAGCTCTGAATGTTTAAGGATTGGTCCTTGGCTTGACTCTTCGAGGGGAGTGGAACCTTTGTGAAATGGGACACTTGGCAGATTGTTTAGGTCACTGGAAGCAAAATGTACACTCGAAGGGACCCTGGTGCATTTCCCTCACTCTCCGTCACTGAGACAAGAACAAAAGGAACCACAAAGAACTCGGTTGAGAACACACAGCCTTCAGTTTAGAGGTATAAAAGAGACTGAGGTTGGGAAGGCAGAGATGCGACCAGACAGTTTAACCACAGCCCCTTGTTCATGGCTGTAACGAGGGACTGCCTGGGGAAAAAGTTATATGAGTGGGAGCCTGTGGCTGATGTCAATGACAAAGTGTTCACCTCCCAGCTCTGTCACAGCCAGTGAGTTTGAGAGCCACCTGAGACATGGGATAGTGCCTGAATCCAAATGGCTTCTACGTCCCACCCGTTGGCCTACCCCATACAAGAAGTGATGCCTACATCAGGACGGGCTTAGAAATATTAGCTCACTGGGGACAGAATGGCCATCTTCCATGTCCTCAAAAGAAGCTGGTAAAAAAACATAGTGTCTGGCTATGAACAAGGATGCACACTTGCCTGTACCTACACTGTGGTAGATGTGGGGTGCATAGGCCTCTTAATACATGGGGCCTCCCAGGCACCTCCAATAGTTTTCTTCCGGTGTTCTCTTTGAAAAGGAACGTGAGTGTTAGCCAGGAGCCCAAGACAGCTGCTGAGGCCAGGGAGCCATGGATAAGGACCAGTAAGAACAAAGGATACACGCTAGAGCTATGAAAATATCAACATAATGTCTGGTCCCTATTCAGACTCTGGACAAGTCGCTTAACCTCACGGGCTCTCCTCCATCCCAGAGGCATTTGACAGTCAATGGTTCTGGGCTTCCAGCTATGGCTGGACTAATAGAGATGGGACTGTACCAGCACCTGGTCTGTGGTGTGGAGGTGATGAAGGGACACTATTTTTATTACTGCTGGTGTGATCAATTTTGAAAAGAGCAAGAAATAACATGGATGTCACAGAAGGGATACTGTTAGACAGGCTTTCACTGTGGTGACCAAGGCAGGTTTTCAAGGAGACGAAGGCAGGATGGGACCCCTTCACATTATGGAATTGACAGGAGATGAGACATCAAAAGAGAAAAAGAGAAGAAATTCAGAAATTACAACTCTTTGCCCCGCCTCTGCCCAGGGACTCTACAGAGCACTTGGATGGTGGGGAGCCATCAGAATTCTCTGGTGTGCAGACTACCTTGGGGCAACCAGGGTTTGCTTAAAGGCGGCTACTTAATACATGTATTCAAGAAGCACCCTGGAGTCTGTTTCCAAACCGAAACAGTTAGCAAGAGCCCCAAGTGGTGGCTTGATAGTGTACTCTCAGCTCTAGAGCTTTAGGACTGTCCTTGTCGCTCAGGTCATGCTGCCCCAGCAGTGTGGGCTCTCCCATGGCCTACAGCACCTGCTAGTAGGGTGCCCCCTGTAGTCACTAAGTAGGACTCACTGAAACCTGCATGACAGCTGAAGTCCCAGTATCCTCCCTGATGGATGCAGTGCATGGTCCTGGTCAGCTTGTCCACCTGTGCCACCTTCTTCCTACCACCTTGCATGGGAAGGTCACCTCTAACGCCTGTCTGGGCTGGCTGCCCTTTCAGAACCCCCAGCTCTGGTCCTGACTGTACTCACCTATGACTCACTCATTTGTAGTTTTGCTTTATGACATGCTGGGCTGAGAGCTCAAACTGTGCAGTGAACCATGGGGATCCAAACCCTAGGGCCACCATTGTACCACATTACTATTTTAGTGTGTGTGTGTGTGTGTGTGTGTGCATGTGTGTGTGTGTGTGTGTGCACGCACGCAAACACACATGCAGATCTAGAGGTCAGAGGTTTTAAGATGGGGTCTCACACTGGTGTCTCCCACCAGGTAGTCTTGGCTAGCTTGACCAGCAAGCCACAGGGATCTATCTACCTATGCCCTTCTTCCTTGTGCTGGGATGACAAGCATCTGCCACCATGCCCAGATTTTTTATGACGGTTCTTGGAATTGAACTCGTGTCCTCACGTTCATGTGGCAAGCCCTGGACGAACAGAGCAAACCCCACAGCCCATTGCACAGCTTCAGGTCCTCCCAGACCCATCAGAGCCTTGGTCCGTCACACATGTTCACTGGTGTCAGTGAACTCAGTGAAAACCGTCAGTGAATAGCAACTGTCCTCCTTGTAGGGCTGTGTATGGCCCCAACAGTGAATGCTTTCTATGTCTTGTTGCCCTACTGTGTGTCCTGCCCTGCTATCACCTCGGGTGGAGTCCATGGCTTCCCAACCTAGTCATTAGTCATGTGACAATTCCTTCATGTCTCTGATCTCACTCTTCCATCTGCAATATGGAAATCTCCCCATTTTCACAGGGGTGGAGGCAGCTTTGCCATCACTCAAAGTCTTTCGTTCTTTCATAGATGCATGGTTGAACTGCACTTCCTGCCCCCCCTTACAAGGGGGTGTGGCCATGTGATGGAATCCTGGCCAGTGATGAACTGGGGATACTCTCAATGAGTCTAACCTAGAAGACCCTCTAGAGTGACTGTCTCTACATCATTAGGAAGGGAAAGATCTGCTGCACAGAAGCTGTCCGACCAATGTGGACAGTATTTGCACATTTGCCAGACTATTCTAGAGAGAGAAGGGGAAGCTGTTGCTCAGACTCTAAGAACTGTGGCTGTTCACTACAGCACTCAGCTCCCCTAAAGACACAGCTTCACCAGAGTCTAGTGAGGAAGAAAGGGGACGCTGTGCATGGTGCCTGGCACACAGTAGGTGACATCATCATCATCATCGTCATCTCAGCTTAGCTACTCCATCAGACTCCAATAGCTTGAAGACCTGTTGGTCTGGCATGAGATCATCCTGGCTTCAGTCACAGCAATTCCAGGACAGCAAAGGGTGCCAGAGCAGGTTCCTCAGGCCTAACAGATACCAGACTTTCACCCATAGGACACTGCCATATTCTCACCCCAGTAAAAGGGTCCTGCTATGACCCAGGCCCATGCATCCCAGATTGAGAATTTATGCAGGAAACAGGAGGCTTACCAGCGCCACACCCAGGATCTGGGGGAAGGTGTAGGAGGAACAGCCAGCAGGTGTGAGGCGAATGGTAGCATATGGTGTCTGAAACCAGGCCTTCTCACTGGCCCATACGATGTCACAGAGGGGTAGAATGGATGCTCCCAGGCCCAATGCCGGCCCATTGATGGCTACCACGATGGGCTTCTTAAACTGGATAAAGGCTTTCACGAAGTCTCTGGAAAAAGAAGAGCCTCTGTAACTCATGGCTTGCATTTGCTGGCTTCGGGATATCTCTGACTCTCTCAGGCGCAATAATACAATTCCTGGTCCTAAGAAGCAAGGGAAGGCCAGCCAGAGGCCACACAGCCTACATGCAGACCCACAGGACTGTCAGATTCTCAGGAGGGAGGAATGGCGTGGGTAAGTGGCGCCCAGACGTGATGGGCTAAATCCACTTAAAAACCTGAGAGGGCTTAAAAAGGAGAGAGAGAGAATTTAAGACAGCTTTTTGCTGTTTCTGGGTTGCGTGCTGCAAAGAAATTGTCCTGACTCGGCAGCAGGAAAAAACTGGCTGTTTTAAAATGCCGGCTTTCTGGGCTGTGCCGCCATTGTGATCTCTGTCTGGCTCCGGCGGGAGACAGAGCTTATGAATGGAGCATTTGGATTAAAGTGCTACGATTTGTTTGATGGCAACTAGACTGCTGTGTGCCTAAAAGGGGGACATTGTGTGCTGCAGCTCCGAGGCACAAGCAGCTCCACCATGCTACTGGTGCAATGTGCAAGGATCAGAGGCACGAGCGGCTCCGCCATGTTGGATTGGGCGGAGCCAGCATACAGTACCTGTTTTTGACCTAGGAATGTCACAGCTTAGATTCTTAAGTGCTTAGTGATTTAAAGGCGCCAAACAAAGTGCTCCTGGATAGTAAAAAATTACAGATTCACAATAAAACAGATTCAGACACTGTTGGATGAATGTACGTAGGCTTGGGAAAGAGAAAAAAAAGAATATAAACAATAAAGTTAATGTCTTAAAAAGAAAAAGGGTAAAGTCTTTAAAGAGACAGAGTACAGAAGTACAGATAGTTATAGATTAAGAGAAATAAAGAAAAATAAGCCACGTAAAAATGGAAAATTCACAGAGAGTCTGGATTATGTACATTGTGATTTCTTTAAAATTGTTGACTGTGAAGGAGCTAAGTACAGAGAGACATTTAGTTACATGGGCTGCCAAACTAAACCAGAATGGATATAAGGGTATTACGATTTCAAAATTTGGGTCTAAGGATATGATGCTTTGGAGAGGGTCTTCTTTTGTTTTTACAGAGGATGTGACCCTGTGGATTGCATCTATCCCGGTATGGTATGATAGACCACGCCCTCCTGAAAGTTGCTGTGAATACCCTCAAAAAATTGCTTCGCTCAATTGCCAACTGAGATGAAACTAGCATACAGGTTATATCATGAACAACCTAATTAACGACGCCCCTATTCAGCAGGAAGCAGTTTGGAGAGAAAAAACTACGCCCATGTTCCCAAATATTGTTTACAAATGTTCTTTTACATTTAAAGGGGGATATGATATAGATATGAATAATTTGCATTGGTATGGATTTTATGGTCAATTTTGTTATATGTATATGATTTTTGATCTTGATTAAGGTATTGTGATTGTGTAGTTCATTTAAAAATGTAATGTATAATTAGGAAATATAGGTTGTTAATGGATAATCATTGCTAATAGTTAAGCTTGTAGTCATGTTAGTTAGATTTTCTAGATATATAGAGATATATTTCAGTTAGATAGGCATTCTTCATATCTTTCAAAGGCTACAGAATATGGCATTTAAATGTTTTAATAACTTAGGATTTTTTATGACAATGAGACACGTCTGCTCCTGGCAGCACCAATCTACTTCAAGAAGAAGATGGGCATTGAAGAGGATCCTTATGGAGTTTGATAGCCATTTGGGCAAGAAACTGCTCTTGCCTGGACTGTTGCATAAACTGGACACAGAGAACCTGCAGAGAGAGGACTGCTGAACTTGCCTAAAGGTGAGATGGTCTCTCGGGGTTTCTGCTTCATGAAAGAGTCTGCGAAACATTCTGCAGGACACAGCAGAAAGTGACTGAATGTTTTTGGAATTTCCTGCTTCATGGAAATGTCTCTGGATACCATGGGCCTGAAGGCCGAAGATGGATGCCCCAACGGTACCAAAGAACTTTGGGTGACTGTCCAGGCAGCGAGATGTCTCTGTCATTTCTAGAGTTTTCTTATTTTTTGTGTACTTAGGTAATATTATATCCTTCTGGAGTCTTTGATGGAGTTGAAGAATGAATAGTTATAGTTTTCCTTAGTTATGATAAGAGATAAAATAGATATAAATATTGTAACTGTAATTCTTACTTGATAACTGCTTTGTTATATGTAATTTTACTATGCTAAAGTTAAAGCCTTTCTTTTTTGTTTAAACGGAAAAAGGGGAAATGATGTGGGAATGATTTCTTACTAATAAAGAAACTGCCTTGGCCCATTTTATTGGATAGAAAATTAGGTAGGCGGAGTATACAGAAGAGAATTCTGGGAGAAAGAAGGTTAGAGGAAGAGTCGCCATGATTCTCCCGCTCCAGACAGACGCAGGTTAAGATCCTCTCTGGTAAGCCAACTCATGGGCTACACAGAATATTAGAAATGGGTTAGAACAATATGTAAGGGCTAGACAATAAGAAACTGGACCTAGCCGGGCCAGGCAGTGTTTGAAAGAATACAGTTTCCGTGTAATTATTTCTGGGTATAAACTAGCCATGCGGGAGGCCGGGTGCCGGGGACGCAGCCCTGCCGCTCCTATTTCAACAGGTAAGCACCCTGGTGGCCTAGCTGTGCCTGATAAGCTCTCAGTTCTCCTCACCTCCCGTCTGCTCTCAAAAACCACGGCCTGGGCAGTAAATTCTATAGGCATCCTAAATACTGACAAGGTTTTATATGTAAAGATAAGCTAAATTGCAGTTCTAAACAAGAGCCAAAGGGGAGGTGTCCTTCAGAAGTACCCCTCAAGGGCAAGTCCATCTCCAGGGAGAGCAAATGTTCTAACATCACTGACCAAGACGCGATGACTGGTGGGGAATTCCTTCACTAGAGGAATTCTGGCTTTAGCTGGATGATCACTTTGAGTGATGCTGAAGATGGGATTCAAGCTTCGGAGCGTGGACGTGGGTGGGGCCTAGGGACACCTATGATTTTTTTTCAATCCTGGGATGGTCTAGCTCCGAATTACCCGCAGGGATACCAGAGTCATCAAGGTTGGCTCTATGGTGCTTATCCGAAGATACTGAGGACATCAGCACAGCCCTCCTGATACACAGCCAAACATCTGTTAGATGCTCTCAGCTACACGGAGTCTGTGACTATTAAGTGAGCCTCCATGTTGTGGGCCTTGGGTAGGCATTGCTGATGCTGTCAAATCTCACATGACGACAATTCGGGAAAGCTACTGAAACTTTCATCCCTTCCAGGAGTTTTCATTTCAGCACCCAGAGACTTCTGCTCTGTGCAAGGTTAGGAGGAACCCTGGAGAAAGTGATGGGTTTGAAGCACACACAGCCCTAGCCTTTCATCACCAGCTGCTCCAGTTTCTTTCCCCTTATATAAATGCACTATGTGGGACCCTCCCATCCTTTTCCTCTCACCTCAGGCATAAGATCTCTACTTCAGGGGCCCCACAGATGCAGATGCTGAGCAGCAAACAGGATATTGCATTACAGACCTGCCGATCGGATATCTAATCACATTTCAGTGGCAGGGCTGAGCTCAGAGGGCTGCTCTCTATTTTCTTAAGTGTCCAATACCCTGAGACTGACTCTGGCCCTTTGCACATCCCTATGCTCAGCCCAAGCCCTGTGCCTAGAGCCTGACCAGGCAAATGTTACCCGATGTGGCATGGAGCATCGAAGGAGACCGTTTTGAGGTCAAATCTCAACTCTGTTTGTCACTAACAGACTTTCTGCTCTATAAAATGGGAAGGCCAATGCTGGGTAACCATGGAGCTAAATGAGAATTATACAAGAGTAGCACATGCCCAGCACATGAGGAATAATGGATCAGGCTGTTATGATCAGGCCTGTGTTTCCATATATAGCTCTCATCTGATTCATGGCGGTCTGTGGCCCATACATACTACTTGCCCAGAGGAAACTCAAGCAAAATGCTACCACCAGGGAAGTCTTTGCTTCACCTGGAGCAACTGCCATTTCCCTTGAGACCCAGGTGCCCATTCCCTTTAACCAGACTCAGGACAGCCAGAGTTATGACAGGCATTCCAGGGTCTGTGAGCACCAGAGACACACATGGCAACTGTCCTCTAAGGCCATAGAGGGATCTCTAGTAGTATACTTTATGGTCATACTGGCCTAGAATCCACCAAGTAGGCTAGGCTAGCTGGCCAGCAAGCTCTAAGGATCCACCAGTCTCTGCCCCACCCCGACTCAAGTACACACACATCATCACACCATGCTTTTTTTTAAAAAATACGGGTTCTGAGTGCATGGCAAGCACTTTACCGACTGAGCTACCTCTCTATCCCACAAAGGTAGCAACTGTTAACAGCTATTCTAAGCACTTGATGTGTCCCATGAGTACCCCATGCGGGTTGTATATGAGCATCTTCCATTCCAACAACCCATGAGAGAGGCTAGAACTGGAATGCAGATGACTCCCATTTTCTAGATAAATCTATAGGCTTAGTGAGAGGAGCCGTGTCTCTGAGGCTGCACTGCTAGCCAATGCAGAGGGAGGTGTGACCCTTCCCAGACACTATGGTGCATGTGTCATTGTGTCTCCTGCATACAGCACAGGTGAGGCTGCCTGTCCCTCAGGGTGGTCCTGATGCAGGCTGATGAACACTCTGAGCTCTTGCCACATCTGCTAGCCCCTCATCTGACATCCGCATGAAGGAAATGGATTACCATCCCTACATGCGTGTGTCTTCTTTACAAAAGTAGAGGAGGGTGTGGGAGTATTGCTTAGACCAGGTGGTCCCCTAGGAAGCCATGGCCAGGGATGCCTGGAGGTAACATGGAGATCAGGGATGGCTCTAGGTCCAAAGGCTAATTCATCCCTGGTGGATTATGAAAAGGGTACTTTCATAAGAGATGGGTGTGCTCATGGATTTATTAATGCACCTGGGAAGTCCGCAAGAGTAGAGATGGGGCTCCTGCATGAAGCAAACACCCAACAGTGCAGTTTGCTCAGGTACCCTCTGGAAGACCACAGAAGACTCTGTGAACAGTGCATTGCTGCCTGGTCATGCATATGAAACATGGGATGCAAGGGAACAATCCAAAGTTGAGGAAGTGGGGGTGTCTGTCCTCCAGGTGTGATGATTGGCCCTGGTCTCTCTTTGACCCAAGGGAAAGCATCTCTGTGTAGCATGTCGTCTGTGCCACTGCCTACCCTCCTTTGAGCTCCAGCCTTCTGGCATCTTGATCCTTGCCTCACTCTCTTCCAACCACCTCGTCTCTTGTGGGTAATAATAAGTTTTTCTCTGGGGTTCATCAGTCCACACAAGGGAGAAACTTCCTGGATGACCCAAGTTAGGTGTTCTCTGCCCTGGCCACATGAAGAAACCATGAGTGACCTTGTGCCTGTGGAGATGCGACCCTACTACAGAAGAGTTCTCAGGCCTTCTTGGGGGCATCTGACCTCGGGGAATGCTCCCTCCCTCCTTTCTCTCCACACTGAGAATCATGGTCTGAGAATCAGGAATGCAAAGGAGACCTCCTTTCTCTCTCCTAGGTCTGCCTCTTCCAGACCATAAATTAGCAAATTCTACTCCCTCCTTGGCCTCTTAAAGAAGTCCCTCTGATCTGTTTGTGTGAAGCATCCCCCTGACAAGGTACATGTCTGAACGCCACAGTCTGCATGTATCCAGAGGTGACTCTGACACTTTCATCACCTGTCCAGAGAGATGGCTCTAAGGATGCTATGATGAGGGATGGGATGGACCGAGCCTGAGAAGAGAATCCAGGAAGATGGGGAATTCTGAGTACCGCTAGGACAGTGACCACAAACCATGGCTCAAGACAACAGAAATGTATTCTGTAGTGTCCTAGAGACAAGAAATCCAAAGTCCACGTGTTGGTCCCCTCTGAAGCCCTGAGGCAGGAGCCAGACCTCGTCCACCTGTTGATTCTGTCAGCTTTCTTGGTTGTTCTGCCTCACTCTGGTTTCTTGTCTTGATGTCACATCTCTTTTCTCTATCACGCCACACCATTGCCTTTCTCAATCCCAAGGGGCTGCCTCATGACATTTAGAGCCCATTCGAATCTAGGATCTCAGGACTCTGAACTCCATTACATTAAGACTCTTTTTCCAAATTAATTTACCTTCAGAGGCTGAATAGACTAGGAAGTTCCTGTATTTGTGTGTGTGTGTGGGGGGGGGGGGGACAAGAGGGTTAAGTGCTAATTAGCTTTGCTTGCATGAATGGGAGCCTGAGCCATATCTTAAAGATTCCCCTGGGCTGGAAATCCCACAAGCACCTCCACCGAGATTAATAAACCAGGTGCAGACTGTGAGCAAGGCTCTTTGGTCCCTGGGGTGTGCTCTGGTGGCCCCGTCTATGAAGAGGAAATCACTCTAGTGACTTTGCTGATCCTTCAACTCATGCAAAGCCAGCAGTGAGAAGATGCAGCCGAGATCAAGCAGAGCACAAACTGCCAGGCCATGGCCAGGGCTCAATTGCACCCTGGAAATGGGGGGGTGACATCAACACCACAGTTCCTCTTTAGGAACTGGGTCCCGGATTCATAGTCCCTTCCTAGGGAGGATCCTGCATGCGGAAGCACACAGGCATTCCTGAGCAACACTTCACTCAAAGTTGGACCTAGAATCCACATAAGGGGCATCTTCATGCTACAGCCCGCATGCTCCCAAATCCCTAGTGACAACATGGGAATCCTCCTCTGCTGTGATTCAACCACAGGTCAGTGAGACTGAAGACCCTGAAGACTCTCCAGTGTGCAGCCTGAGAGCCAAGACCCCACATGGAGCAAATGCTCCTGGTCTTAAGGCTGTGACTCCTCTCTGTTTCCCTGAGCAAGGCACACCAGCATGTAGGTCTTTCCTGGAGTGACTCACTAAGTGACAGCTGTTAAGCAGCAGAGTGACCTGGCTGGAGGGTTCATTCATTTGCTTTTGTTATAAATAATTGGGATGGACTAGGCCGACAGCTCAGAAGGGAAAGTGCTATCTTTGCAAGCATGAAGACCCGAACTTGATGCTCAGACCCCATGGGTTAACGTATTGCTTGATGGCATCCAGCTGGGGAGGTACCGACAAGCAGCCTGGGACTCGCTGGCCAGCCCACTTATCCTACTTGGCAAGTACCAGGCCAGTGAGCAACCCTGTTGTAAACAACAAGGGGACATTGCCTGAGGAATAACATCTGAGGTTGACCCCTGGCCTCCACATGCACACACGTGGACCCACACATATACACATGCACCCACACATGTTCACATGTGCACACACAGAAAATGAACAACATCTAAATAAATGGGGAGAGATAATTACCCTGTATCCTGAAAAGGTTACTAATAGTTGCCCCTGTGGGTCACCATTGAGACGCCCACAGACTTTGAGAGGGGGCAATATTCCCACCCACACAATGCACGACAGCCCTACCCACAACATCTACCAATGTTCGAGAGCCCTAAGTGCTCCACCCTCTTCCTATACTTGGTTCACATCAGGTCGAGGACAGAGGAATGCCGACACAACCAAAAACCCCACCAGCAGAACAAAAGCAGGAGCAGAATGCTTTGTGGCATCGCCAACGCAGGCCTTAATGAGAAAATAAAAGTGTGTTTTTCTTAAACAAAAAAATAAAGGGTTTGGGGGTAGGAAGTAGAATGCAGCCCAGAGGGCAAAGCATGCCATTGGGGCCATGGACAAAACGCAGGGTGCCCAGCTTAGGTCCACAGCTCAAAGACAGAAATTAAACCGAATGACAGAGCATGTGTCCAGCATGTACAAGGTCCTGGGTTTGATCCCTGGCATTGAAAGAGAATCAAATTTTAGATAAATCAAAAATAACTGTAAGATATAGGCATGGCCTGGTGTCCTAAACGTTGTCAAGGATGTACTTACACTAAAATTAAAATCCCACATTGTCTGAAATTTAAGTTTAACTGAACAGCTTTGTACTTCCATTTGCTAAGCCTGGTCATCGCTGGCAGGCTCCCAAAGCGTCCACTCAAAGAGAAGCTGAACTCACCTGATGGCTTCTGCGATGCGAGTGCTCTCCTTCCTCCGGTCACTGGACAGCCGGCCGATCAGGTAGGAATAGTCCAGTCCGCTGCAGAACACACTGCCCACTGCACTGAGCAGCAGCAGCTTGCTGTCGTCTGTGGCCGCGTTGCACAGCGCTCGCCGGACCTCCTTCATGATCTGTGGACAGAGGCGAGTGTGCAGAGCTCTGAATACCCGAGAGCATCTGCTGAACGAAAACACGGGCCAGACCCAGGAAAGGAAGTCAACCAAACCAAAGCTTTCCGGCACCACGCACAGTGTAAGCAGAAGTATCAACTTGGAGGTTAGGGGTCAGTGGTCCAGACCTGGGAGCCCAGCATGAACTTGCTCAGTTTCTATGAACTTTTGCAGACCCACTTCTGGGGTTTGCTGGCTGAAGCCCTTACAAAGTATGGGGAAACTGTCCTTTGTACAGCTTTGGTGAGTTTAGCCTCTAGATGCTTCAGTTACATTTTCTTCTCTTGTTTGATCTCCCTAGACCCTTGCACAAGAGGTTAGAGGTGGCCATACTCAGCAAGTTTTAGTATTTGCAACACAGCCAAGCTCATGGTCTGTCATGTATTACCCACAAGATTGGGGATTTGCTGGTCTTAATGTCTAGAATTCTTTCCAGGCAAGGAATAAATGGCAAGGTGCCTGGGAGGTCAAATCCTGGGAGGGAAAGTAAATTCGGAATTAAGAGCATCTTGTTTTCCCCTCATGCACTTGTTGCCCCAGTTAGACCATGGTTTTAACAATGATCAGAATGCTGTCTTTCTTAGCCCCCGCTGTATTCTGGTATAGACATTCAAAATAGAGCCGTGACATGACCGTTGGTCACTGTCACACCTGTGGCTTCACCTCTCTGACTCATGCCCCTCACAGCCCTGTCGTGAATCATGTCCACACTGCCTACACAATTTCTCCTGGGAACCTGGGCATTCAGGATGACTTCCTGGTCAGGAAACCTGCATTGTAATCTAAAACGAACCAGTCTAGCCCTTCCTTCGGTCTCTCCACCACACGTCCTCCACATCCTAGTCAGAACGAGCAGCTTGAACTACGTCTGTAGGTTAAAATCTCCCATGAGAACTTAAAACCCCAACACAAAGTTCTGAGGTGTAATACCACATGAAAGAGAAATCTTCAAATTAAAAGAGGAGGGACTGTGGAGACGGCTCGGCAGTTAAGAGCACGCATTGTTCTTGCAAAGTGCCCCAGTTGGGTTCCTCGGGCCACGTCAGGAGGCTCCTGACTGCTTAAGACCAAGCTCCAGGAGTATACTGGAGGATACTACAATCATGTGTATAAAACCACACCTACACATGTGCGCACATGCGTGCGTGTGTGTATGAAAATAAAAAGCACTATCTTTTAAAAATTGATGAATTGATTGATATGGAAACTGGATACAAGCTGGCAGCATTTCTGGAGCATCTCATAAAAATGAACACAGCAGTGCTTTTGAGAGAGACTGACACCTAAGCCACAGGACCACATCACAGGGAAATAATCTGCACTGCAGAGGAGCTCCCAACAAAAAGACACAAAGCATTTGAGAAATATGAACAGACACACAGATGGGAGGGACACAGCAACGTTAAGTAATACTACTCTAAGAGACTTGTTCTAGTCTGTTCTGTTCTGTTCTGTTCTGTTTAAAATATGTCTAAAATAGCCAAGGAGGGGGAAAGGGGCAGAGAAACAATGACGACCCCGAGAGAATGAAATGAAAGGGCTTAAGGGAAGAGAACGTATCACACAGACAGCAAAGTCATGATTGCTGCCTAGATTAACAGACTAAATAGAGCTGGAGGGAGAATAAGCAAACTGGAAGATCTGGAGAAGTTTCCCTGTTCCCAGATCAGAGAAACAGAAAGAAAACACACTAAGAGGGTAACAATAAGTGCAAGCCAAGAGGTGCTGAAGGAGCTATTTTCAGATGTCACAGAGAATGGGCAGAGTCTGCGAATGTACGTAGTGAACCGTATTTCAACCTGGACACCGTGAGGGAGAACACGCTTCCTGCACGTTCCCTAGCTCCTGGCCCCACTCTTCACCTTCTAAGGCAGTGGTGGCCAGACAGGTCCACTCTCTGCTCCCTCTGCCTCTCTCTGACACTGACTCTTCTCTCTTCCTCCTCTGCACCTTAGACCCTGTGACGATGCCAAGACCATGGAGACCTTTCCTTCCAAAATAATCTCTTCCTTCAAAGTCAGCTGAGGAGCAGCCTTCATTCCTTCAGAAACCTTAATGCCCAGGCATGTAAGTTAGCATCATCTTAGGTTCTGGGATCAGGACCAGAGCATCTTGGGGGAAATGCTTTAAGTCTGTTTAATACATACCTGAATTCGAGACAACACAAAAGGCCAATGCAAAGCAAAGGTAAATCTTTAAGTATACAGAGGCAAAAGAAAGCTTACCTCAACGATGAACCCTTGACCAGAGGATAATTCTAAAGAAGACTAGCAAGCACTAGTGGAAGGTAATGGGATCTAGTGTCCAACGTGCTGAGAGAAACATCTATAGAACAAGTTCTTCACCAATACAACTGGCCATTCAAAGGCAAAGCTAACACCTGGGTCTTTTCAGTACAAGAGAGTTTATCATTCTAAGACCCTCAAAGAACATGACGACAGAGGCATGGGCCTCAAGCAGAGGAAAAGTGTATTCAGAAAGAAAAACACAGACAAACTAGAAGAAATTCAGTGTGAGCGAGACAGACGCACAGCAGACAAGAGGGGAAGGAGACAAGCTTTGAGGGAAGTCCGAATGGCCAGATGCGACAACAGGGTGTGGGAGACACACCTGTGTGGCTGGCCTGTTCCCGTGTGTCCCTGTTAGCGTCAGCTGCCAACTTGACCCAGCATAGAGTCATCTGAGAGGAGAAGGCTCAGTTGATGAATTGTCTAAATTGGCTGTGGGCATGATTGGCAGGGAAACTGTCATGATGTGGGAGGGCACAGCGCACTGTGGGCGGCACCATTTTTAAGGTGAGTGGTTCTGGGCCCTATAAGAAAGCCAGCCAGATGCAAGCCAGAGAGCAAGCCGAGCAGGCCCAAAAGCAGCATCTTCCGTGGTTTCCGCTTTCAGGCTCCTGCCCTGAGCTCCAGCGAATGAACTGAGAGGTATCACATTGACTCAATTTATGGAAGGAAAATTATGTGCCTTTAAAAAAGCTTTTAAAATGTAATAGAGTAGGAAAAAATGCAGGAAGAGCTGTTCTTGTGTGGATGTGGCATAATGAGCTTAAAACAACATGGGTTCCAGGTATATGTGCATATGAGGAGTTGCCCACCAGGGAGTCCTCATACACATCTCTAGATCCTACCTACAGAGAACCCCTGGATGCTTCTGTTAAAGGTTAGTGAGGATGCCCCCCCCTCCAAAAAACCTCCATGCTTAGAGGAGAGGCAACACTATTGGCCTCACAAACCCCAAAGGCACCTGCCAGCTCGACTCTCAAAGTCTGTCAATCATTCTGGGCTGTAACACCCACAACTCCATAGAAGAGCCATTGGCTATGTAAATCATATAAGACATGCGGTCACAAGTTCAAGGACATGGCACCCCTCCACCACTTCATGGGCATTCCAGAGGGTGTCAGATGTACCAGAGGATACAGGCCATCCTATCAATGCCAGCCTGGAAGAGCGGTTCCTCTAGAGTGGTGGCTCTCAACCTGTGCATCGAGATCCCTTTGGGGGAATGAATGACCTTTTCACAGGGGTCATCCAAGACCATCTGAAAACACAGGTTTATTATGATTCATAACAGCAGTAAAATTATGAAGTAGCAATGAAAATAATCTTATGGCTGGGGGTCAGCACAGCATGAGGAACTGTATTAAAGGGTCACAGCATAGGAAGTTTGAGAACTGCTACCCTAGAGAGTGCCCGCCCCCAGACATGTTGCTAACTCCCCATGCTTCCATAGACATTATGGACAAGCAAGTGCAGGGTGTTCCAAGGCCGAGGAGGAGGTCTGAAATCACCCATCTCCCCAAAGCTCTTACCTCAGGTGTCAGGGCATTGTTATCTGAAGTCTGGCTGGACAGAAGAATGTGCGTGAAGCCCTCTTCCTTCCGAACCACGATGTCACGAAACCGACAGTTGCTTTCATTCTGGCGGACGCTGTATCTGAGCCTCTTGTCAAAGACATAATCCTTCTCTGTCTCCAGCTTCCTTTTCACTGGGCTGTGCAGGTTCAGGCCTCCGTTGGTCAGAGCAGGGCCTTTCAAAATTAGAAAAGCGAGTGAGAAACTGGCCTGAATTATGCAGCCACACAAGTCAACTGGGGAAAGCCTGGATTTCCAGGGGAAAAGTCCAGGGTTCCCAGGCCCCCTCTGCTCTGCTTTGGAGGAGTAAAGAGTCCAGTACATAAACGATGTATCTTCAAACTCAGAAAAATAATCGGGGACTTTTTGCAAAGGACTGGTTTGAGGGCCTGATCCCAGCATGGAGTACATCTGTCAGTGAGCATCTGCTTATATTAGGATTCTTGACAACCAAGAACCTACTGACCCCTAGAGAGGCAGTCCTATCCACTGGTGGACACACGTGACTGACAGAGAATCCTTAGTAAAAACAGTACTAGCCACTGGCCTGGATCCAGCCGGTACCCACCGGCACCACGTGCTAAGCACAATGCTCCAACACTACAGGTACATTGTCCCATTCAATGTGGAAGCTAGAAGAAGGGATCTGAGTGCCCAGTGCTTAAATTCTGATCATGAAGCCCCAAACAAGCAGAGACCTCATGTTTCCACCTCTCCTCCCCCATGTTTGTGTCTTCTATATTAGTGTTCATAAATGACCACAGACTGCCCTCACTAAAAAGAAATTGCTTTAATTTGCTTTCTATTGCTTTAATAAAGACACCATGACCAAAGCAATCTGGGGAAGAAAGGGTTTACAACTCTGGCCATACTCCATTAATGTGGATACAAAAGTCTTTGACAAGGGTCAGGCATGGTGGCACATGCCTTTAATCCCAGCACTTGGGAGGCAGGGACAGTACCCGTGAGTTCCAGACCAGCTAGGACTACATAGTGAGACCCTGTCTGAAAAACTAAAGGCTTTGATGAAATATGAGCTAATGACTTCATGCAATACAGTGAGAATTCTATGCTGTGAATAGGTGAGGGGAGCTGGTTCAGTATCTGAAAATCAGTTGGTATAGCCAACCACACAGGAAGTGTAACAACGAAACATCACAGTCATCAACACATGAAAACCATCTGACAAAATCTCACAGAGAGTTGCATTGTCCCCCTTGACAGGGACATCAACAAAACATCTACCACTTACATCATCTTTAACTGGGAAAACCTGGATTTCTCCCTAATAACACCCGAAGTCACTAAAGGGCACTCTTTCTCCTGGTCAACCACATCCTAGAAGACCTAACTAGTGTATGAAGAGAAGAGAAGAGAAGAGAAGAGAAGAGAAGAGAAGAGAAGAGAAGAGAAGAGAAGAGAAGAGAAGAGAAGAGAAGAGAAGAGAAGAGAAGAGAAGAGAAGAGAAGAGAAGAGAAGAGAAGAGAAGAGAAGAGAAGAGAAGAGAAGAGAAGGAAAGGAAAGGAAAAGCAAGACAAGTCAAGAAAAGAAAAGACAATAAAAGTTATAGACACTGAGAGGGAAGAGAGGGGCTAGAGAGATGGCTCAGTAGTTAAAAGCACTGACTGCTCTTCCAGGGAACTCAGGTTCAATTCCCAGCAACCACACCTGTCTGCAGCTCCAATTCCATGGGCTCCAACACCCTCAAACAGACACACAAGCAGGCAAAATGCCAATGCACATAAAATAAAAATAAATAAATCATTAAAACAGAGAGAGGGAGAAGAGGAAAAAAAAAGACTATTTACTGATGCCAAGTCTGTATGTGTAGAAAGCCAAAGAAATCAACCATTCTTGGAACTAGTGAGCAAATTCAGCAAGGCTTCAAGATACAAAATTAATACACCTGCTAATTACTGTCCAACACACCGGTAATGAACAAATAGAATTTGACATTTAAAAAACGGCACCCTACATATGTGAACCATACGCAGTTCTAATAAAAAAAATATGTATGGGATCTGTAGATAGGAAACTACAAAACCCTGACAAAAGAAGCTGAAGCAATTCTAACTAAAACAGAGAAATACAGTGGCTTCAGGGAGAAATATCCTCTATAGGCTCACGTGTTTGAACACTTGGTCCCCAGTTGGTGGCACTGTTAGGAGATGGGGCCTTGCTGGAGGACACATACCACTAAGGGTGGGCTTGGAGGACTTACAGTCTCATACCACTTTGAGCTGGCTATCTCAGCATCTTGTAATGATGACATGTGATCTATCAGGCCTGCTCCAGTGCCTGTTGCCATGACTTCCTTACCAACTCCTCTCTCTGGAACCTTGAGCCAAAATAAATTCTTCTTTCTGTAAGTTGGCTTTGGTCATGGAATTTCATCTCAGGGACAAAAAGTAACTAATACAAGAAGTCTGCCATGTTCATGAATCAGATTTACGCTTAAAATACATAAGAGGTCAACTCTTCCCAGTTGATCTGTGAGTTCAATGTAACCCCAGGCAAAATCCCAGCAAGCTATTTTGTGCCCAGTGTCAAACTAACTCTGAACTTGTTCTTAGCATGGGAAAAGATATAGAACAGCCAAAAACAATGATTCAAGATAAAAAGAGTGGGTTCTCTCCCACATCAAAGCCTTAAGAAAAAGCCACAGTGATCCAATGTACAGAAACAGACCAATGGGTCATAAGAGAGAATTATAAGCAGATGCTCACATATACAGTGTCACGACAGTTCAGTGGGGGGGAAAAGACTTCCTTTTCCAACAAATGCTACCAAAACAAACAGTAATCCATTGGCAGAAGGAAAACATGAACCTGGAGACATCACATCTGTCATGACTAGCTGTGCACTTGATACACAGCTGTAGTTACAGGGGAAGAGGGAATCTCCACTGGAGAATTGCCCAGAACAGACTGGCCTGGGGTCAGGTCTAAGAGACATTTAGTCTTGATATGGTTGATGACTGATGTAGGAGTCCCGGTCCACTGTGGGCAGTACCACCCTTAGGCAGATGGAACTTGGCTGAATAAGAAAGTGAGCTGGGGAAGTCAGTAAGTGGTGATCCTCTGGAGTTTCCACTTCACTTTCCTGCCCTGAGATCCCTCAATGACAGGCTGTTACCAATAAGATGAAATATAAACCCTTTTTTTTCCTCAAAGTTCCATTCATTTATGGTGTTTATCACAGCAAGAGAAACCAAATTAGGACATCTTACAAACTCTCCCTCTCTTTCTCTCCCCCTCTCCGCTCCCCGCCCCTCCCCCCTGAGACGTGCATGCACAGGCACATGCAATTTCTCTCAGAATGGATCACAGACCTAAACACAAAATGGTAATATGTCTAAAAGGCAACCAGACAAAGCTCTAGGGATACTGGGCTTGACAATAAATTTCTATATTCAGCATCAAGAAAACCAGGTTTCTTGATATTAAAAAAAATGGACAGGCTGAACATTATAAAAATTAGAAACGTCTGTTCCCTGGAGGGCATCATTGAGAGAATTGAGAGACAAGCTACACTCAGCATGAAAACAGTTTGCCAAATATATATCTGAGAGATTTTGTATTCAAAATACACAGAGCTACAGTAAGAAAACAAACAACCCAACTTAAAAGTGGGCAGGAGATCTAAAGAGCCAAATCATGCCTTTTCCCTGAGAGGGAAAATCCAAGAGATGCCAGGGCACACAGGGTGGATCCGAGAGATACAACAGCAATGAGACGGAGGCATCAGAGGCATCGCTGGTGAAGACTGAGATTGCATGGCCTTGTTCACTGTTGACAGTACAGACACACACACACACACACACACAGAGTGTGCACGGCCTTGCTCACTGTTGACAGCACACACAGAGAGTGTGCACAGCTGTGCTCCCTGTCAACAGACACACACAGAGAGTGTGCATGGCCATGCTCACTACTACAGGACACACACACAGAGTGTGCATGGCCATTCTCACTGTTGACAGCACACACAGAGAGTATGCACAGCTGTGCTCTGTCAACAGACAGACACAGCTGCACAGCACTATGGTAAATGGCTTGGGCTTGTCGTCTCTTTCTCCTCTAAATAAATCTCTTTATTTTCCTTAAACATCTTTATTCTTGAGAATGCCATATACAGATGCAATGAAATATGGTCATATCCATCAAGTATTCCACCCTCCATCTCCTCCTACAACCCTGCAACATTCCCCGTCTCGTCTTCTCCCTTTTAAAGTTACTTTTGCTTTCTCATTGTTTGAGAGTTTTGTTGTGGAATATTAGTTTAAGATGTTTTGCATTTGTTTACACTGTGGAACATTTGTTTAATGGTGCAAAGATGTGTTGCATTTGTTTAAGTCTGTGAAGCTGTGTTACTTTGCCTGTCTAAAATACCTGATTGGTCTAATAAGAAGCTGAATGACCAATAGTTAGGCAGGAGAAAGGATAGGTGGGGCTTTCAGTCAGAGAGAACAAATAGGAGGAGAAATCTGAAAAGAGGAAGGAAAAAGCAATAAGAAATAGAGAGGAGGACATCAGGGACTAGCAAGCCATGGAGTAAGAGGGAAAGTAAGATATACAGAAATAAGAAAAGGAAAATCCCAGAGGCAAAAGATAGATGGGACAATTTAAATTAAAAAGCTAGCAAGAAACACACCAAGCTAAGGCTGGACATTTATAAGTAATAAGTCTCCGTGTATAATTTATTTGGAAGCTGGGTGGCATCTCCCCCCAAAAAAGCAAAAAAGAGTAACAACAACCAACAGAATTTCATACATGCATGTAATGTGTTTTGATAGGTCCCACGCTATGCCCTCCCCTCTAATTGCTCACCTATATTCCCTACCACTTTTTCCTTCCCTGTGGCTTTTAAATGTCCACTGAGTCCACTCAGTCCTGTCAGAAAGTACATTCACCCACTAGAGCATGGGAAACCTACCAATAGCCGCACCATTGAAAGAGAAGACAATCTCATCTCTGCTGCCTTTGTGTTCTCATGGGTGAGCCTAAAAAATGGCAGACTGCACTCACTACACTGAGAATTCCCTTAACTGGGAATAGGATCAGGGAAAAGTGACTTTAACGCTGGTCCCAAGCATTGAGGAGTCCACCACAAGACATCTAGTGGATTCAAACACTATTTCAACAAATATCTAGTCCACTTCCTGCCAACTACAAGC